ATATATTTTGATTTATTTTATTCTATTTTATTTTTATTCTGCTTTGCTTCATTTTATCTTATTTTATTTTATTTTTTTTGAATTTATTTTAGTTTCTTCTTAATTTAATATCTTTTAAATTAAATTAAACTTCTTTTTAAATTAATTTGATTAAATTGATTTAATTACTCTTTTTCGTTTTTTTCGAAATTGTTCTCCAGTTTTTTGCAAACAGCAACTGTTAGATTAAATTAAATGAATTAAATCAAATTAGTTCACTCAAATTAATTAAATTAAGTAAATCAAAGTAATTAATTTCAATCAAATTAATTAATTTAATTTAGTTTAAGTTAATTTAATTTAATTATTTATTCTTTTATTTATTTGTTTTTGCGACGACGTTTGCTCTTTGCTGCTGCTGGCAGCTGCTGTCTTAATTTATTTCTCTGAATTTATTATTTATTCTATCTTTAATTATATATTTTGTCTTTTAGTTAATTAATTTGCTTTTGAATTTATTAATTTATTTTTAAATTAATTAATTTAGTTTTTAATTTGTTTATTTGTCCTCAAATTGAATAATCTTTTTCTCAAAAATATTTCCCCTTTAGCTTTTGCCGCATTTGAAAAATGAAAATTCCATTTTAATAATTTTTGTTTTTTTATTTCGAGAATTAATTTCATTCCAAAATGAATTTCTCTTTCTTTGTTGTCCAATTTACTTGTTTTATTTGCTGCTGCTGCTGCTGCTGCTGCTGGTTTGCTGCAGAGTGCAGGAAGCGGAGCTGCTGCTGCAGTCGCTGCGGCCGGGGGGCCTGCAGCAAGCCTCGCAGCAGCGGGCGGTGCTGGAAGCTGCTGCTGTTGCTGCTGCGCTGCTGCAAGCTGCTTCTCTTCTTGCTGCTCTTCCGGAATTCCAAGAAAGAATTTTAACTGCCAAAAGACTCCAAGCCAGAGTCCTCGCCCTCGCCACTCTCCTGTGAGCTGTACATACACCCCACAGCAGCAGCTGCATGTACACCCCACAGCAGCAGCTGTACGTACACCCCACAGCGGCAGCTGCATGTACACCCCACAGCAGCAGCTGTACGTACACCCCACAGCAGCAGCTGCATGTACACCCCACAGCAGCAGCTGCATGTACACCCCACAGCAGCAGCTGTATGTACACCCCACAGCAGCAGCTGTATGTACACCCCACAGCAGCAGCTGTACATACACCCCACACCTAAAGCTGCATGTCCACTTCACAGCAGCAGCTGCATGTACACCCCACACCTGAAGCCGTATGTACACTTCACAGCAGCAGCTGTCTGTACTCCCCACAGCAGCAGCTGCATGCACACCCCACAGCAGCAGCTGCATGTACACCCCACAGCAGCAGCTGTATGTACACTCCAGCGCAGCTCAGCAGCGCCTCAGCACTGCCTGAGCTTTTGTGTCCCCCAGTTTCTTTCTCGAGTCCCCTACAAACCCCGCTGCTGCTGCTGTTGCTGCTGCTGCTGTTGCTGCTGCTGCTGCTGCAGGCTGAAGGAGTCTGTGGCGGAGACGAGCATGGAGGGCTTTGGCTGCGCAGTTGCTGCTTTTGAAAAGCTGGGGGCCCAAGAAGTTTTGCTGCAGGAGCTTCCGGGGGCCCTCAGGGCTTTGCTGCAGCAGCAGTGGGCAGCACTGTGGGCCAGGACCCCCGCGGGCTGTGCTGCAGCTCTTGAGGGGCCCCTGGGGGCCCCCCTCGAGGCCCCCCTGGGGGGCCCCCTGGGGGCACCCCTGGGGGCCCCCATGGGGGCCCCCCTGGGGGGCCCCCTGGGGGGGCCCCCCTTCGGGGCGGGGCCCCTGGGAAGCGGCGGGAGCTTCGAGGGGGCCTCCTTGGGGGCCCCCTTGGGGGCCCCCTTCAGTGGGGGGCCCCTCGAGGGGGGCCCCATGGGGGGCCCCCAAATGCAGCTGGGGGGCCCCCCTGAGGGGGGCTGCATAGCAGAGCCTGAGGCCCTAATGACTTATGCAGAGAAGTGGACTGCTGCTGTGGAGCAGGTGGGGTGGAATTAAATTAAAAATTAATTAATTAATTAATTTAAATGCACAGCAGCAGCAGCAGCAGCAGCAGCAGCTTTATTAAAGGAAGTGTTCTTTTGGAGTGCTGCCGCTGCGCTGCAGACCGCGGGCTTCATCCGGGCTGCTGCAGCTTCTGTGGGGGCAGCAAGAAGACACAGCAGCAGCAGCAGCAGCAGCAGCAAAGCCAGCGAAAAGGGCCCCCACCAGACAAGGGCCCCCGGGGGGCCCCCCAGCCGTCGGCAGTCTTCGGAGATGCTGCTGCCTTTTGGCTCTCTTGGGAAGCCCCATTTGGGTTTGTTTTATTTTCTTTTTAATTCTTTTTTAATTCTTTTTAATTCTTTCCTTTTTCAATTCTTTTCTTTTTTAAATCTTTTATAATTCCATTAATTGGCCAATTTGAAATAAACCATTTGATCCATTTGAAGTGGCTTTTGTTTTAAAGTGAAAAATGAATTTTGAAAAGTTAAATGGGGCTTTTTAGGCAGAAAAGGCATGCATGCATGCATGCATGCATGCATGCATGCATGCATGCATGCATTTCAACTGCATGCATGCATGCATGCAGTTGGCATGCATCTTTACTGCGGCCCCCATGGGGGCCCCCATGGGGGCCTCGAGGGGGGCCCCCAGCGTTTTTGTTGCATTTGAAAGAAACTTTTGGGGCTGCATGCGTCTTGTTACACTCAAAAGGAGCATCTGGAGCTGCATGCTGCTGCTGCTGCTGCTGCTGCTGCTGCTGCGCGTGTTCAGCGGGCCAGGGGGGCCCCCCTGCTGCTAAGGCCCGGGGCCTCTGGCTGTCCCTTTTGCTGCAGTCTTTGGGGGCTGGTGCTGCAGTGCCGCTGCAGGACCTCGAGCGTTTGCTTCAGCGCTTTCGCCCGAAGCAGCAGCAGCAGCAGCAGCAGCAGCTGCTGCAGCAGCAGCAGCGGGAGCAGGAGCAAGAACAAGACGGGCTCCAGGTGCGCGGTGCTGCTGCCGGCGATATGCGTGCTGCAGGCCTTTGCTGCTCTTCTAATCTGCTGTTGCTGCTGCTCTTGCTGCACCTGCTGCTTTCTCTGCTGCTGCTGCTGCTGCTCTTTCTGCTGCTGCTGATGCTGCTCTTTCCGTTGCCGCTGCTCTTCCTGCTGCTGCGGCTCTTGCTGCTGCTGCTGCAACTGCTGTTGCTGTCACTGTTGCTGTTGCTGCTGCTCCTGCTGCTGCTGCTGCAGCTTGCTGAGCAGCTTCTGGAGGCCTACGAAGTTGCTGCTACCCTCATTAATGCCACTCCAGCCTTTGCAGAGACAGAAGTCTCCGAGCCGCACCTGTGGGAGCGCGTATGCTTTTAGGGTTTAGGGTTTAGGGTTTAGGGTTTAGGGTTTAGGGTTTAGGGTTTAGGGTTTGGGGTCAATAGTTAGGGTTTAGGGTTCAGCGTTAAAGTTTCAGGGCCTGGGGAGTAATTTCTGGGATTCTTTTTATGAAGAACTGCTGCCGGCATCTTCGAGTCCTTTTACATTCTTGCCGCTGCAGCAGCTGCTGCTGTTGGTGCTGCTGCTGTTGCTGCTGCTACTGCTGTTGCTGCTGTTGCTGCTCCTAGCTGCAGCCGCAGCTGTCTGTTTCCCACCCACTGTCGCCCTGAGCCCCGCAGCAGCAGCAGCAGCAGGATCAGCAGGAGCAGCAGCAGGGACGATTGCGTGCGTGTGCTGCTGCTGCTGCTGCTGCTGCAGTTTTGCAGCTCTGTGGAGCTGCTGCCGCCGTCGCTGCTGTCAGTTTATTCTGCTGCTGTCTCCCGGCGGCTGTCTTTGTCTCTGGAAGCTGCCCCACAAGGGGCTTCAAGAAAAGTGTCTCCTTTCCAGGTGCAGCAAAATGTTTTATTATTTATTTTATTTTATTTTATTTTATTTTATTTTTTATTTTTGCTGCTTTTGTGTCTCCCCCTGTTTGCTGCTGCACCTGCGCCCCACGCTGCAGCTCCCCGCGCCGCGCTGCCCCTCGCTGCTGCTCCCCACGCCGCAAGCTGCTGCTGCTGCTGCTGCTGCTGCTGCTGCTGCTGCTGCGTTCAGGCGGTGGCCCAAATGCAGGAGGAGACGGAGACTGCTGTGAGGAGGCTTTTGGAGATCCTCCCGTCTCTCTGCAGCAGCAGCAGCAGCAGCAGAAGTGCGGGGGGGCCCTTTGTTGCTGCTGCTGCTGACGGGGCCCTTGTCGAGCTGCTGAACCACCTCAGCCCCAGAGTCAACGCCTTCCACCAGTCCGTCGCCCACAAGGTAACAGCAGCAGCAGCAGCAGCAGCAGCAGCAAAGGCAAAGCAGCAGCAGCAGCGAAGCAGCAGCTGCTGCTGCTGCTTGTGCTGCGGCTGCAGACCTACTTCCAAGCGCCCCCTGCCCTGGGCGCCTGTCGGGAGCAGCAAGAAACAAGACCCTGTGCTGCTATTCCAGCTGCTGCTGCTGCTGCTGCTGCTGTGCTCTCCTGCAGTCGCAAAGTTTGCTGCTGCAGCACAGGGATCGGATCCCAGCGGGGTCCCCTTTTGAAGCAATCCCTTGGGATGCTTCTCTCTTTTCTGCCTGTCTCCAGCTGCACTGCCTCATGGTCTCCTTTGCTGCTAAACTCCACGAGGTGCTGCTGCTGCTGCTGCTGCTGCTGCTGCTGCTGCTGGGTTGGGGCGCCAGCGGCGACCTGCTGCTGCTGCTACCGTGCTGCTAAAGTAGATGCTGCTGTTTCCCTCGCGCTACCCCTTCCTCCGCCTTCTCGCTTCTTCGCACCTGCACCTGCTGCTGCTGCTGCTGCTGCTGCTGCTGCTGCTGCTGCAGGTGGGCCTCGTGCTGCGGGAGCAGCTGTCCCCTGTGGCCCGCAAGCCAAACCGCCTCAGCCGCTGCATCAAGTCTCTGTTGGAGCGGTACGTACACCCGGTGGCTGCTGCTGCTCTCTGCAGGCTCAGCTGCATGCAGAGCAGCAGCAGCAGCCGCCGGTGCGGCGTGCTGCTCCAGCGGAGACATGATGCGGCGGCG